ATCGACGATGTAATACTCAACTATCATATATAGGAAAGATATCGAAGAGAATAATCAAATCAAAAAAATAAATTCTTTCGGTGAACAAAATAGGAATGATTCCTTGCATATTGAAGCCAGATCGTTCAAGGAATTAGGAAAATGTTGACAAAGCAAAAACAAAACGAAACCCTTAGAACTTGGAACTTCCCCTCGTGGAAGTCCGGCGCCTTCTGGGAGTCCCCCGGTTTACGGCTTAAGGCAGCTAATTAGCGCCAGCCAATATCACCGAGCTGAAGCAAGGTAAAAGCCTGACTAGTAAGCGCATCCAGATGCCTATAAGGCACACTCCCCCTATAAAGATGAATATATCGTGTTGAATATACTTCATCGAAGAACTTCACTCCTCGAGTCGAGTCCTCCTCCTACTCCATCTTCTACGAAGGCGAAAGCCTGCCTAGTAAGCGCATCCAGATGCCTATAAGGCACACTCCCCTGTAAAGATGAATATATCGTGAAAAATATAGTTCATCGAAGTACTTCACTCCTCGATTCGAGTCCTCCTCCTCCTCCTCCTACGCCTCCTACGCTTCCTTCTACGCCAGGTGGCGCAGGGCGCTGGCTCTCGGGCCGAAGGGCTCGAGCGGTGCCATGTGCCGCCGGTACCTCTCCCGGAGGGCAACTTCGACTTCCCATTTTGTTTTTGTTTCTTTACAATGTGTTAAATGCCCTTGAAATTTCGACATCCGTGAGATTTTTTTTTAAATAAATATTTTCGTTGTATGCAATCGACGCTGTATGTTTTAGAGCCCCTTCCAACGTCGATACTCCTTTCAAGCACTTCCTAGCTGCTTTTTTTCACTTCCTAGCTGCTTTTTTGGGATTATAAAAAAATAATTTATTTCTATTATTAAAATTGCCAAGGGATTTTTCGTAGAATAATTATTTGAGAATCCTTTCGCTTCTTGAACACGAACTGACCCACATGCTTACCCCAACGATTTCAAAATATGTTAGTAGATCTTTGAATTGAGTAAGAGGTCAACTTCAACTTCACATTTTACTTTTTTCTTTCTTCCAATCAAAAATACATTTGTTAGACCTTCGATTTTCGTTCAGTTTGTACGGGATGGCATATCTCCAAGTTCTGCATCACATACAAGTATTAATTTATTGTATTATAAATTCTGATACAGCGCCGAATGATATTGACAATCTTCTTCTTTTGCCGACTATGTTTTGACTTGACTATTCTTTTATTAAATATTGTGGCGTCGTTAACACCAGGGCCAGAACCGTTAGGTTGGTGAAAG